GCCCCTCTTGTTCTGCAGAGTTGGTAAGTAAAATTTAGTAGCTACATGTACAGTACTGTACGTTTGTTGTTAAAATGACGTAGGTTTAAGAGTTAGAACATTGCAAGAGTGTGGGAAGGGTTTCTAAAGCCTTAAAATATATATAAATACTAAACTAAATACAACGTTGCTACTTCGCGGATTTTCACTATTGGGGGGGTGGGGTGGGTGGGTGGGGGGTCTGGAACGTAACTTCCGCAATGCACGAGGGACTACTGTATGTTCCTGATGAGAATCGACTTCAATCTAACATATGCATTCTTATTCATAAGGCGTTGTAGAATCAATTCTTTGTTTTGGCACATTAGTTTTACCATAAAGTAAAACATGACTGATAAAATTCTCATTGAGTTTTAAAAAACAAAAATGTCAAATGTTTGTGTTTTATGCAGCACTTTCCCTGATGCATACTTCTGTTTAATGCAAAGCTGGTGGTAAGTCATCTCTAATTTAAACAGAAACCCCTGAAACCCAGGGTGATGATTTGTGGGTGAGTCGGCTGCAGCGCTGATGCTATCAAACATCTTGGTGAAATGTGCCTGCACTCTGAGGGAACACAAACATAGCTTTTAATTTAAATTATAATAAATATTGTTAAGCATGTCATGATCTATTTTCTTATATTAGTCATTGATGGTAAGATTTATTTCAAACTGTGAAAGCGACCCTGCAGAAGGACATACAGGACATGATCTAGATGAGCAGAACTTCCTGTTTGACAGCAAATGGAGCATTTTGTTGACACATAATAAAGATTAACGGTGACTGATGTTGTTCAAGCTTATGAGACAGTTTTACCTCCAGAGATCGGAGCTCTCTGTGAAGCTCAGACACTGACGTGGAATTTCCCCTTTTCTAGAGGAGAGTACGACGCTGCTTCTTTTCCTTTATGCTTTGTATTTTATCCTGCCACAGTACTTTATTACTTTTCTTAATGCACTGTTTTTTTGTCGTTTTGTATATTATGACTTGTCGTAAAGACAAAATTTAATTTACAGTGTTGACCTCAATCTTAAAACTCCCTACAGCTTAATGTCTGCTTCTAATTTCTTGTTTGATTTTTCCCCCTTGACAAATAAAGGTCTAAATAAAGGTATTTTGAAAAGATCAATTAGTAAAACATTTGCAAATATTGCTTTACAATCGAAATTAAAACATGTTGTTCTACAAACAATTTATTCAAATACGCAACGTGCACTTGGTTAAACTTTTTCATATTTATATTTGGCCACATGTATTGTGCTCTGTCGTGCATCTCACAGATAGGAAAGTGGTGTGGAGGTCAGAGAAGAGATGAATGTGCTAAAGAGCAAAGTGCAAATTGAATAAACTCACTAACTGAGTCAACCGTTCATGCACGTACGAACCATAACCAACTGGAAACAGGAAGTGTGTAAGTGGTATACTAAAGGGGAATTCCAGCACTTTTCAACAAAAAGAAAAGTGAAATCACCACAGTGGGAGCAACGAAACGTGTAAAACCTTTTGTAACATTTTGATTGTGATTCTGGAAGGATATTTGTCAAGAGAGGGGAAGTAGCTAGTTGTGTCAGAGTTATCTGCCTCGACTTTTATCACTTTGGTTTTTCTTTTTTTTACAATAATATTTTTCAATTAGTCAACTTAAACTTACATTGATGAAAACGATTCACTGCAAAGTTGATTTTGCAGAAGAAAAAAAAACCCCATCAAGGTTCAGTTTTTTCAAATGTTAAAATAAATTTATCGGCCTTCGTCGAATATTAATTTATTTTAAAAGTGAAAATTCTCTTCTTATCCTCTGCCCTTTGTCCTCATCCGAAATGAGTTCACCTTTCCATCTAACGCTTCCATATCATGTCAGGGCTTTGCTATTTCTCAGCCCTCTGTAAATGACATTGGCTGGCAGATGTGAACTCTCACTTCTCTGAGGAAACGTCTAAGAGCTTTGTGCGCCAAAACCTGACGGCTCATTTATCACTACTGTACGTCACAAAGTACACATTACACTCACATTAAGCTCCATTACAACACTAATTTAATCAGTGCATCATTTTGAATTAAAAAAAATAAAAAAAGTTAAACAGCTTGGAGTTGCATTCAGAAATGATCACTTTTAAACACCAACGTGAGACAGTTTCTGCCACAAAGCAGAATTGGTCGACTTCCTGTTCACTAAAAACAAGTTAAAAGTTAAACAAAGCCCCCTGTTTTCTGCAGATTTGAAGCCACATTTTCCTGTTGCATACGTTGTGGTTTTCTTTTAACCTTTTTTTTTTTTCCATTTTGACAGTGCAGGGAAACAGGTGTAATTGAAGCTGTCAAGGTTGAAATACACAGAGAAAGGAAATTGCACAGTGGCTCATCCCCTTCTGACACCACGACATGTATGAAAGCACCAGTCAAGCTTGAGGCTCAACTTTCAACTAAAATGAAAGCAAATGAAAACACGTTTATATTAAGTCTCTTAATCTTCCGTCTAAACGTAGACGGCAGATATATAGGCCCGTTATACTTTCCTGCACTTCCTCTTACAGTGAAAAAAAAAAAAGGATACATTTGAGCAAACAGCAAACTATTTTCATCAAGTAAACAAACTTTCTTTCCTTGTAAGGTAACTTCACTCAAAGTATTTTATGAAGCAGTTAAAACACAGAAACACTGAAGATAGGCCCTACATACATAAGTCACACATATATT